GAAGCGCCCGAGGCGTTGTTCCAAGCTATTGGCCTCAGGTATCCGGTGACGAGTCGGGTCGGTCGGTCTGCGAGTGGTGCGGTCGGTGACTGGCATTGAAGCTGACCATATCTTGCAATGTCACCTTCGTCTAATTATAGTTGATACAAGTAGTCATGCATCGTCGTGACATAGTCAATAGTAGTCAGGACTAGTAAGGACATGGACATGAAGATCCTTGGACCACTTGTGCAGCATGTTTTCGGCCATGGGACATGAAGTCTTGGTCTTCCGGATGTGACTCCTCGTTCGATCCCGAGATCCGTCCGGAGCGTTGATCACGGTGATCACTGCGTTGTCCCACTCAGTCAGGTTCCAGGCCGAAACAGGTTGCGAGTTGCACGAGGTTTTGAGTGGTTCTAGATGGTTCTAGTACTTCGAAACCAGGTGTCCAGCAGTCGATCACTTGCAATTGACACGAGTCGCTCATGCTGCTTTCCAGCATCATGCAAGCCCGAGGCAGTTTTGAGCACCCCACATATAAGCGGAGCAGTTCCTAGAATGGAATGCACCACTATTGAAGAAAGTTCTCCTGCACCACCAAGGACATAATATGGAGATCTCATGAGATCTCACTCTTCCACACTTTTATGTCGTTTTCCTATACAACCTCTTCCTTCCGGCCATGGTCAAAACCACTCGTCTGGGGGGTGGTCATCGTGTCATCCTGCCCTTAGGAAGGCCCCCAAGCACCGAAGGGCATGAGCTTCCGCCGGCATGGTCTCAAGTTCCGCGTGTTTCCGAACGCCCAAGTGGCTGAAGCTCCCGCCACCTCCCCCGCTGCTGAGACCCCGCTGCTGAGAACCCGACATCGTTGCTCGGCAGGACCTCCACCACCTTGGAAATGGGCTGCCATGCTGAGGAGTCCCTATCAGGTGAAGGAGAAGCGTGGGTGTAAGGAACAAACACATGGCAAGTTCATGGTATGGCTGAGAATACCAAACAGTTTTGTACTTTGGTCGGCTCCATGTTAGTTGGAGTAGTAGACTTCCAGAAGGTAAGTGGGGGTCCCAGAGCCACTGACCCATCAAAAAAAGAGGATGGTGAATCCAAATCTTGACTAGAATCATGCTGACTGGTAGCTCTTTTTGTTGCCTTGGAGAACATGATCTCACATTTAAGAGTTAGCCAAAGCAAATGGGGAGGGTTGCTGGCCCCATTGGTGAAGCCCTCTTATTTCCTTACTTGAGAGTTTCTTTTCTGTGCTTAACCTGCAGACACCAGGTCGAGTTTGGGCGCTCGCCTTTTGTGTGCTTGATAGCCTCTGCCGACCCCCCCGGTGGCCCTCGGAGCGACCGAAAGGGCCTCCCGGTGGGTCGGGGGGCTCTACCCAGCTGCGAACAGCTCCTTAACCATGAGCGAGGTGAACCACCAATGGCGGTGCTGCTCCCTGGAAGAATCATAATATGGTTACATGGATGGCCTGACCCCGAGCTCGGATGACCGTGAAATCGGAAGAGAAAACAGGTGTTGGTACTCTCCACTTCCATGACTATTCAAAGGGAGTGTACTAGATCTTGAAGTGAAGCATGGACAAGATTCTTTCCCATTCTTTTCTCATAGGTACGGGTCCCCTTTGACACTTGTTCAATCCAATATCTACAAACTCAAACCATTTGCTGTGATTGCTGAAGATCAAGGAGGTCAGCTGAGTAACTGACTGAGGGGGGTAAGTTAGAACCCATTTGATTCGCTTCTGGCATGTGCTGGCTCTTTCTACCGACGACCGCGAGTTCTGATGTGCCCATCACGTCGAAATGAACATCCCTTTTTGAAACAGCCGTCTGATGAGTCTGACAGGGGGTGATTGCTTTTGCAGTTGTGCCACACATGTGCCACATCTTGAAACTGCTGGTAGGTTGAAACTTTTTCTAGAATATTTACAGTAATCCGCAATCCATCTGAATTCCAGTTCATCCCAGTTTACAGTATTACCATAGTTTACCCATGTTTACCCTCTTTCTAGTCTCTTCACCGGCCCATTTGGCTCGCACCGAGAGGAAACCGCCTGGACTGCCTGGACTGGTCCGAGGGGCGAAATCCAAGCTGCACTTGGCCAAGGACCTGCCGGGTTCCGGAAAGGACCGTGGACGGTGAAGGTAGGTGTGAAGCCCAGGGTGGTTGTCACCCAACACGTCCAAAGACCCGAGGGTCAGACCTGGAACATCCTGGAAACAAGCTAGGCTTTCCTCAAGTGAATTGAAGGGTAGCTGGGATGACAAAGGGAGGGTGCTCTAGACCCATCAAGAAACCCATCCAATGAGCTGGCTTGGTCAGGTCTGATCGATGTCTCAAATGGTTTTCTGGAGGTACATGGCAATGGGTATTTTATGGTATTTTACCTGACAGGTCTCTCACAGGGAAGCTGCAGTCTCACACCTGCCCTCCGCCGGCATTTGGAAACTGTCTCACAAGACCCGTTTACCGAAGTAAGTATAGTATAGTCACTATAGTATACATATAGAATCTTATAGGAACACATAATACCATCATTTTCAAGTAACGATGATGACCCGCATGAAATCGACTGATGTCTTCATCGTTTCTCCACGCCGCATATCGGCCCAACGTTCGTTCCCAGGCACACGGTCTGGAGCCGCCGCGCAGAGCCCGGTCGCGTGAGGAAGAGGATCTCGCGAGTCAGAGGAGCGCGCGCGGGCGGCTGTGGCTGTGGTGGGTCTTTAAGTGGGACAAAGGGCAGGGTGGTGCTAAATGTCTGGGATTCGTGGCTCACCATGAAGAAGCATCAAATACCGGAGAACCTTGTCCATTGTGAACCGAGACAAGTAACAAGTACAAAAGGCGTGGCTCCCAGCACAGGTGGCACAAAAATTAGGCCAAAGCTTCTTCGATTCGGGGCGTGTCCCGTTCCCTGCGGAGGTGGAAGTAGGAGCCCGACCCGGGAACTTCATAAAAGTGAAAGAAGTGATGCGCGTCGTAAGGTGGGCACTTTCTCTTAGAAGATTCGTTTGCAGCCAAATCTCCCCATTCCATTGAACAGGTGAATTTCGGGCTCTACGAGCCTCAGGCGCCCGACGTCGTCGACGCACGGCGCTCCGTGACGAGCGCCTGCGCCGGGTCGAGCACGAAGTGCTGTGCCAAGGCCTGCAAGATCACCTGCTCGTGTGCCTGGAAGCCGGTCGGTGCCGGTCAGCCGGATCACCAAGTCTTCGAGGTTGAAGGATGTCTGTTGCGTATGAACTGCCGGTGGTTGGCTGTTGATTTTCTGGAAACAAGTGCTTAGGAAAGCTTCGTATACATGGCACAATTTGCCCAACCTGGCCCTCAAGGATCAGGGCCTCAAGATATGTTTGTGCGCCCTTCTCGCGCCGCTTCCCCAGGCTGGACCTCATAGGACCCCCATGTAGGACCTCTACATAGGACAGGGTCCCTTCAGGATCTGTTGAGGTCCTTTTCAGAAAGGAACATGAGCTCAGTAGGACCTTTAGGGATCATCGAAATCCGTCGATGAGGTCATTGGACTTAGTGGGGCTGCTTTTGTTGCACTGGCACCGATGTTTTGGAAGCCAAGGATCGATCGAAACCAGTTTTTTTCCGATTTCGATCAGAGACCTTCCAAAATTCCATGTGAACATCATGTGTTGCCAGCGCGAACAAACAGCGCGGTCTTCCCAAGGGGTTTCTGCACAGGATTTCGATGCTTCCTTTTCGACTCTCCACCACCGGCCAACAGGGTCGAATGCTTCCGGGGGGGGTTGCTGGCCTGCTGGAGAGGCACCACAGGCAAAGTGCCTGAGAGTGAGCGGAGTGTTTTTTGTGTTTCCCGTGACGGAGGTGTGTTGAGTTGTATTTCATGGAAAGCACGAGAAGGTCCACATTAGCTCCTCCAAGTCAGGTGTCTTGAAATTCTTTTTGGACCTCCCTTTACCAAGATCCTGGATTCATCTTCCGGTTTTTACACGTGAGTCATTCCATTCTTTTTGTGGCTTCCAATAGAGCATCCACCATGGTGGAGCCATGGAGGGACTGAAATGGAGGAGTTTCACCAAGAAAAGGTTGGACCCTGTAACACGGTACATATCTAAGATGGTTGAGTCATGTTTGATAGTTGATGTGTCATGATCCTTTATGTCATAAACCTGCAGCAAGGGACTCTGTCAAAATCAAGTTCTCCCGCCATCGCAAAACACCACAACTCTTTTCCTGCTTGCACACTTTGCAATGGTACTTCAGCCGGCCATGAACGCAACCATAGCACAAACGGCAGTGGAACTTGACTCTCCCGTGTGCGCAGCCGTGGCAGCCGGCACAGTTCCACGTGACTTTACCATGAGGGCAGGGACACACTTTCTCTTGACCTTGCCATGTGGACAGGGATGACAAATTCGGCAACAGTCTGGTCTCTTGCCGTGTGGACAAGAATTGCGCTTCCTCAAACGGCATGGATTGCAACTGCGGCAATTGTACTTCACTTTGCCATGTGGGCAAGGATGGCAAATTCGGCAAGCGTCACGCCTTTTGGCGTGCAAACAAAGAGTGCGCTTCTCTTTTTCTCTAGGGACGATGGACTCCACCTGCAAGTTTCTGTTTGAGGAGGACAAACCACATTTCACCTCAAGCAAAATCCACTGTTTCCTGCAGCCAATCTTGCCGTTTGTTCCTGTCTCAAGTTCCTAAAATCTGCTCAGCAAAGACTTCAGAAACTGCAAGGCTGGCTGAACCTTGGAATCATCTAAGTGTTACCCTTTGCCCCGTCGGCATATGTTGCATTCATATTTGATGCGGCCATGAACACAACCAACACACAAAAGACAATGTTTCTTGATTTTCCCATGTGGACATGGATTGCACTGCGCACAATTTGTCTTCAACTTGCCATGTGGGCATGGATTGCACTGCGCACAACTTCTCTTCCTCCTGCCATGTGGGCATGGTTTGCACTTCACACAATCTGTCTTCAACTTGCCATGTGGGCATGGTTTGCACTTTTCACACTTTGCCTTCAACTTGCCATGTGGGCATGGACGGCAAATTCGGCACATGTCTCGCCTCTTTCTGTGTGGACAAAGAACGCGCTTCTCTCTAGCAGGAGCAATGTCCATTTCCAGATCAGCATTGGAGGACATTCCACACTTTTCCTACAGCAATCGCCACTGCTTCTCGCAACCGATCTTGTGGCTTCCATCCGAGTCAAGTTCCTGGAGTTGACAAATGAGCGATTTGAGCAATTGCAAAGCTGGCTGAACCTTGGAATCATCTAAATGCAAATAGTTCAAACATCTAAGAACAACTTTCCGGAGCCGAATTTGGAAATCTCGCTTTGAACCTTGTGGCTGTGCCAAAGAACCTGCTGCGCTTCCACCAGACTGATTTGAACAGTGGGGTGGCGACAGTGCAGCTACTGCCCGCCGGAATATAGAGCGGATCTGGCCAAGGTCATCATGTCCAGCTTCGCCAAGTGATTGCTCCAGAGAAGCAACGTATTCTTCTTTCTTTGTCTCACAGGTGGTGTTTCTCCAAAGAAGTATCGCTTTGTTCATCAGCTTGGCTGCTTTTGCAGCCTTGGCTTCTGGAACAAAATGCCCGAGCTCCGTGAAAAGGCCTGACCATTGCAGTTGAAGGTCCGAATTGGCTTCGATGCGCTCCCAAACCTTTGTGAGCACTTTCACCAAGTGATCACAACTGGGCTTCACATCCTTTAACGCCCACAGGTAGCGCTGCAATAGAAACACTGCAGACAACCCATCGTACTGCGCTGCCATTTGCTCAGCTGGAAGCTCTGCAACCCACGCGGCAACATGAAATGCATTCTTCTGCAGTTCATCCGAATTCAGCGCCTCATGAAGGAACTGCTCGTAGCGGTTCAACACATGTTGCGCTGGCTTTCCCCGAAAGCGTTGAGCATGGTACCTGAGCCTCTCATCAAAGGTTCTTGGAGGCATGGCAGAATCATATGGTATATAAGCTTCAAGGAAAACTATCCTCAAAAGCGGCAAGTCAAAGTTGAGTCAGGTGTTGCACAACTCTAAAAATGCTTTTCTTGTCCTTTCACGTCCCAATTGACATGTATATCTACAATGCAATGCTTGGTGATTCTTGACCCCCAAAAGTTCTTGCAACTGGCCAACCTTGCTGGCATGATGGTTTGCAGAACGCTATGTTTCTCTGAAGAACTACACCACGGCCCGAAATGGCAAAATCAATGGAATTCTTAGGGCTTCAGCGGCACAAATCCAAAAGGAATCAGAACTCAGCTGCCAAATGCATGGTTCCGGGCTATCATAGATTTCTCCACCGCCAGTTTGCTGTTTTTTGAACAGCAGCTGTTTGGCAGATCTTTGTTTGAGACCAACTGTGGGCAACCAACCATGAGAACTACCCAGCAAAATGGGTTTGCGGAAGGGTTTTGAGGGTTCATTTCGATGGCATGAGTGTTTCCCACGTGGCCACGTGTTGGGTTCGTGAGCTCTCCCTAAAGACAAGAATGATGTTGTTTATTAGGATTTTCCCCACCCCCCCCTCTCTCTCTCTCTCTCTCCCTTTCTCTCTCTCTCTCTCTCGTGTGAAGGGTTTGCTCAGCAACGCAAAAAACAAAATCTTTGTAGCGATCTTTGCGCAGCGATGTCGGTTGTCATGATGACCCTAAGTACTGTGTGACAAGGTGTTTGGAGTTGGTTAGAGGGCCCAAATACCTTCTGAGGAGGTATTTGGAGCCACAGGGGCCCTATAGGGGCAGGGGGAGGAAAGCATCATCCCGCGGATTCAGTTTGAGCAAAGCTCCCCGGAAACCAGGAAAAAATGAAATTCTTCATGGTAGGAGGGAATCCACCGAAGTTCTGCTTGCCCCGAAATCACGACCCACGGTTGGGTCTGGGGCCACCAAAGCTACCGGGGGTGGAAAACCCAACCCATCAAACCCCCAGCTTGCGCGGAGCTGTTGTTTTTTGTCAAAAACAATCACAGGTGGTGTCCTACAAAGAAACGACACATGGAATGCATATCATACAGATTGTCAAACAAACTCTTGTTCTTCGTGGTCGAATAGATTCTCAAAGCCCGGCCGGGGGGATCCTTTATTTGGGAACCTTCGTGTGGAGAAGTGATGGAACAAAAGAAGGGGAAGGAACCCTTGGTTTTGACGAACACACACACATACACTTTTGCAAAGCTCTTTCCAGGGCTTCTGCGGAGAGATCGAACAACATACTGAAGGTCAGGTTGTATGAAACACCCATCAAGGACCTTTATATAGATGCCTCTTACTGTCCTGTGCATTCAACGCACACACCACAGCACGACCTGATGCAGAATGGCTTCAAAATGTGTAAATTACTGTACTTCGAGTGATCCCCACCTGGCATTCTATCTGGCATATCTTCTTGCATTCTATCTGGCAAACTATCTAGCATACTATCTGCCATTCAATCTGCCATTCTTTCTTTTCTGTCTGGCATACTATCTGGCATTTTGTCTGGCATACTATCTGTCATTCTATCTGGCATATCTTCTGGCATTCTATCTGGCATTTTATCTGGCATTCTATCTGGCATTCTATCTGGCATATTTTCTGGCATTCTATCTGGCAATGTATCTAGCAATCTATCTGACACACTATTTGGCATACTATCTGGCATATCTTCTTGCAGCATTCTATCTGGCAATCTACCTGGCATTCTATCTGGCACTGATCTGGCAAACTATCTGGTTGAGGTCCAGCGGTGCACACTGCGATCGGACCCTTGCGGTTGAGGTCCAGCGGTGCACACTGCGATCGGATCCTTGCGGTTGAGGTCCAGGGGTGCACACAGGGATGCACACTGCGATCGGATCCTTGCGGTTGAGGTCCAGGGGTGCACACTGCGAGGGGATCCTTGCGGTTGAGGTCCAGGGGTGCACACTGCGAGGGGATCCTTGCGGTTGAGGTCCAGGGGTGCACACTGCGATCCGGAGCTGGCCAGACAAGATCGGCGAAGCAGATTGGCGAAGCAGATTGGCGATGAAGATTGGCGATGAAGATTGGCGATGAAGATTGGCGAGGAAGGAAGCAAGGAGGAAGGAAGGAAGGAAGGAAGGAAGGAAGGAAGGAAGGAAGGAAGG